CACCGCCAGGAACATTGCCCACACCGCCAGGAACCTTGTCCTCACCGCCAGGAACCTTGTTCTCACCGCAAGGATTCTTGTCCTCACCGCCAGGAACCTTGTCCTCACCGCCAGGAACCTTGTCCTCACCGCCAGGAACCTTGTCCTCACCGCCATGAACCTTGTCCTTACCGGTAGGAACCTTGCCCTCACCGCCAGGAACATTGCCCACACCGCCAGGAACCTTGTCCTCACCGCCAGGAACCTTGTCCTCACCGCCAGGATTCTTGTCCTCACCGCCAGGAACCTTGTCCTCACCGCCAGGATCCTTGTCCTCACCGCCAGGAACCTTGTCCTCACAGCCATGAACCTTGTCCTCACAGCCACGAACCTTGTCCTCACCGGTAGGAACCTTCTCCTCACAGCCATGAACCTTGTCCTCACCGGTAGGAACCTTGTCCTCACCGCAAGGAACCTTGTCCTCACCGCCAGGAACCTTGTCCTCACCGCCAGGAACCTTGTCCTCACCGCCAGGAACCTTGCCTCATCGCCAGGAACCTTGTCCTCACAGCCATGAACCTTGTCCTCACCGGGTACCTTGTCCTCACCGCCAGGAACCTTGTCCTCACCGCCAGGAACCTTGTCCTCACCGCCAGGAACCTTGCCTCACCGCCAGGAACCTTGTCCTCACAGCCATGAACCTTGTCCTCACCGGTAGGAACCTTGTCCTCACCGCCAGGAATCTTGTTCTCACCGGCAGGAATCTTGTCCTCACCGCCAGGAACTTTATCGAATCAATGTGATTCTCGTTGTCATAGTAATATGGCGCTAACGCGTCCAAGTTTTTTTCATATTGACTCTTTGACGTCATTTTGCTAATATGAATGTGAAAAATCCGTATTTGGTTGTTGGCTGTTAGCCAATCAGAAACCAGGAATTTTTCAAATAAATAATAAAATCTATTAATCAACCTTTATATCATTTTAACGCTGTTTATACTTCTTTTAATTTGCGTTCTAGTTATTTTAACACCTTTTGTTGAACATCAAGACTTTATATATTTAGACCTGCATGCATTAAAAGGATTTTTTTACCAGGACACACTTTATCTGCACGCCAAGACCAAGGGACCCAAGGGCAACAATCACTTGGACGTGTGGCAGACTAGCTTGAGCACAAATACTCGTCAACAAAGAAAAAACTTATTGAATATTCGTTAAAGTTCAATGCCTTTTTAAAGCAAAAATTTGTTTCAAACAATTAAAATGCGGGCCGTCAATAAGGACTGTTTTACACATCGAATTTCGCATCGAATGCAATTCAAACAATAGATAATGAAGCTTAATGAGGTTTATCATCTCATTATCTATTGTCTTAATCGCATTGGACGCGACCAAAATTCGACGTATAAAACCAACCTCGTTCCCAGGGTCTTTCCTTCGCCTCGCGCCGTTCTAAGAAAGACCCTGGGAACGAGGTTGGTATAAAACAGGCCTTACAGTCAAACCGGATGTTCTCTTGCAAGCAACATTGCAGTATTGTCCCACAACATTGCAATTTTGATAGGCAGATTGCTCTAAGCAATTTGCAACCGACGCGAACAAATTGCAAGTTGAAATTTAATTCACCAAAGATTTGTAAACAAAGTCTCTGATTGGACTATTAGCAAAAAGGAAACCAATCAAATAATCTGAGCAGCTGGGTTGGTGGTTCCCTCTTTCTTATAATCCAATCAGAGGCTTTGTTTACAAATCTTTTGTGAATTTCAACTTGCAATTTGTTCGCATCGGTTGCAAATTGCTCAGATTAATCTCCCTATCAAAATTGCAACTTGTGGGACAATATTGCAATGTTGCATGCTTGCAAGAGTACATCCAGTTTGACTGTAAGCCGATTTTCCACTAGCGAACTTTTTCGCGCGAAGCGACCTTTTTCCTTTGTCGGTATCACCAGGGTATCACTTATGACGTCAGCAGGACGTGGCAAAATGGATGCCGACAAAGGAAAAAGAATTCGTACTGAATTCAGCAAATTTCTGCGTATGGGCCTAGCTAGGGCATCGTTCCAGTGTTCAATTTACAGAGTTCACTGCCATGCACTGGTTATGAAAATCTGTAACAAGATTTCTCAAATGAGATCATCATGGACGCCGAAACTTGGGGGGGGGGGGGCAGGAGGGGCAGCCGCCTCCGTTGTCCTTTACCTGGAGGGGCAAGGGGGTCAAAGGTGCCCTTTCAATTTAAGGGATTGCCTTGGCGAAATAGCGAATTGTCAGAAATGTTAGTGCAATTCTTATACGAATTTGCTTCAGAAAACGCAAGGAATGCAGTCATCGAGCTTCAAGAATAGCACAATCACCTGGCGGAGAACCTCCTCACACCCTAATTATCCAATAAATAGAAAACATGATTAGGCGAAGTTCAACTCCCGATGTTTTGCAAACATCTCTTAGTATATATCAATTCAAAAGTGCCCTTTCGCGAAAATCTGCCCCCTTGCCTTCACATCGTTCCGGCGTCCCTGGAGAAAATAAAAAATTGTTGCAACTGAGTCCGTTAAAAGCACAGGTGAATTGTATGTCTGTTAAATGCTCATGTTTGCCACCGGTTAAAACATTTTGCATTTGTGAATTGTGACAAGCCCAAAACAATTTTCCTTTCGTGTGGTGAGACAAACTGGCAACAAAAGCGTTGGGAAATTTAAACGGCTCAACACATATAGTCTCCCGAAAAGGTATATAGCGTTGCATGATTATGAATTATATTCATGAATAAATCATGTTAGCAACAATACTTTATATTGATCAGATAAATCAAGATGGCGACAACAAGGGGCCGTCATTTCGTAAATAATTAATATTATTATTAGATAGATAGATTGATTTTATTATGATTTTCCCAAAACAAACAAGTGAAAATGGCGGAAAGATATTTAAACACTAATGAAATTGCCCTATAGAACTAAATGAAAATACGAACAAAACTCAAGAGCACCAAATTTTGTTTGAAAGTCCAGGACTGGGCTTTGGCGAGAGAATATGATGTTCATGACATTGAGAATTATCCAATTTTGTCATGCTAATGATAAGGGGGCGAGTCCAATCTGGCAAAATTTCCAAACATCACTCGTACTATTAATCCCTAATTGTACTCGTCATCGCATAATTACCTATACTAATTGTTAGGTTTTAATTCATTATAGTGGACCCTTAATTTAAGTATATAATGATAATGAATTTCCCCCCATTTTGGCATTTAAATTAAAGGCTTTAAAAGCACAGGTGAATGTGTTAAGTAATAAGTGCTAGTCTTGTTCGTCACTGGCGGTCCGTCGATTAAAACATTTTGTGCTCTTGACAAGCCAAAAACAAATTTCTTTTCGTGTACAAATAAACTCGAAAACGATCAATAGACAAATTTGAAACTGGAAAAATTGGAAAATTTCGTTTCAACGAAAGTGGCTGGAGAATGACTTCCTTCCACTTCAGATTCATCTGACTGCTCATCACTTTAAACGACTCAACGTGCGTTATGAAATAGAAGTCAAAATCGGTTTAAAATAATCGAATATAGTTTATTTTCCGGATGTATGTAATGTTAACAAGGTAGGTACATTGCGTTTCTTTAAAAGTTATTACATTTTTCAAAAGTTGCAACCCAGTAAAGGCGGCCCAAAATCGGGAGTTGCCAATTTCAAACAGTAGAGGTCAGAGACGTGCAACGAAATATATTTTAAATGTTCCCTTAATTTGTGATGTAGAGTATAAAGTCTGGCTTCTCGCAACTAGGTTGCCCCCCTTACTCCTTAGGACACGATTTTCTTCCAACTAGGTTCCCCCTTTTTTTCTTTCAACTAGGTTCCCCCCTGAACACGATTTTCTTCCAAGACAAATCATGGAAAACTTATATAGTATCGAAAATTCAAAAACAAACCGGATCATCTGACCCCAACTCGTACAAATATAAAATAGCTAACCTATCAAAAATCGTACAAAATCCGAACAACAAGAATATATGGAACACACTACTTCATTATATTACATTACATAAAAAAACAGAACATTTACAGAATTCAAGAAACTACTTTTCAATTACTACATTCAAACATTTAAAAATAAGCAGGACGTTGAGGATCCCCGTACATAAAAAAGTGTGTCATCAAATGCAATCCTGACGAACCTTCCTTGGCTTTGGTATGTTGTTTCTAGACTGGCTGTAATGACTACTGTCCAAGTAATATACAATTATTTATTGGTCGAGGTTGAGCAAAATACCGTGATTTATTATACTATTTTCTCGTATTCTTATTGGTTGAAAGCCCACAGATAATTTTATATAATAAGCAAAATACCGTGATTTATTATACTATTTTCTCGTATTCTTATTGGTTGAAAGCCTACAGATAATTTAGTTATATTCACAGGCCTTAAAATATCGGTCGGTCACGGACATTGTCCGACCCATTCGTGAAATTGTCCGACCCAAACTCAACGTCACCGGACATTCTGTCCGACCTAAGTGAAACTGAGGTGTATTGTTTGTCCGACCCGAGTGTATTGGTGTCCGACCGAACTGTGGCTTTGTCCAACGTAAATCAAAATGTACCCTAGTCCAGGACTAGAGGCTTGTATGTTAAATGGAAAATCAGAGTACTATTGTATAAAAGGTGAACTGGAAATGTTGTTTTAACGTAGTCGAGCGCGGGGCGGCGAGCGAAATGGCGAAGTGGTGAAATTGTCGAAGTCTTTTTTAATGGGAATTGCTAGATAGTATACTTCAAAATAAGGTTTCCCTTTTTATATCAATTTTTAAAAAAGTTAGGGTTAGGTTGGGGTTTAGGTTAGGGTTAGGTTAGGGTGAGTATTATGGTTAGGGTTTAGTTTTGCGTTAAGATAGTTTTTTCTACGTTAACAAAACGGAAACCTTATTTTGAAGTATACTATCTAGCGATCACCCTTTTTTAATACTGCTGTTCTGGAAAGCAAGTTAATTTTGGCTTGGAAATAAGTATGAAAGAAACAAATTATTTAATATATTCACAATTTGTGTCATTCAGACTTAATTGGCCACTATTTGTTGTATATTAGTTTCTCATCCCCGCCCGCATGCTTTTTAAGAAAATGGTCTTGTTCGCCATTATTACCATTATTGCCATTTTTGACCATTATTATAAATTTTGTGATGTCTTCAAAATGATATTTGAAAGAAAGACAATTAAAAACGTTCCCAAACCAAAAGTTTCAGTTAAGATACGAAATTTTATACCAAAACTGCCAGTTTCTCTCGCGTTTACGTAAACGTTCTACAGGAAGCCAGGGGCAGGGGAAAAACCGCGAGACGACTTGGCTACAAAATTATTTCTCTTTTCTGTGATTATTTCACGTGTGGTCATGTGGAGTGGTCATGTTTTTAATATAAAAACATGGTTTCAGTTGCATTCACTAATTTTGTGCTGTTTTGCAATGCTATAAATAATGGCATAATAGTAATGGTCCGCCCGCCCGCATCAACTTTAGGTGAAGCCCCGGATGAGAAACTAATAAGCAACAAATAGTGGCCTATTTCCGAGTCAAAACTGAACTGAAGGTCATCGGACATATGTCCGACCCAAACTCAACGTCATTGGACATTTTGTCGGACGGCCCTGGAAAAGATATTTTAAGGCCTGTATATTCATAACATGAAAAACTAACTCGTGCATGTTTTATTCCGAATTGCACTCAAAACCATACTATTATCTATACAAATAGTTATACTCACTTCTGCTGAAGGCTGCTTCCAGTTAAATATCAGGAACTTTGGGCATCACATTCGATTGAACAATTTTGAAGGATTTTTGTAGATGGAACTAGATTCCAGTATGAATGTTTATACATTTATTTAGATCCAACAACTTTATTTAAATGCAACTCTAGGTCCTCTGACAGGAATCGAACATGCGAATTAAAATTACGTTTTACTTTTACGTTACGCAAAGGCAGCGTTTGAAATGTAGCGTGGTTTTTCATAGAACAGGTTATTATAAAGATCTAGAATAGAATAGGAATTATAAAGGTATAATGTTTAAATGTTTTGACACTACGGAATTTGGAGGAGCTACTTTCCAAACACTGTTCTATTTATTTTACAACAAAATGAGAGTTCTGGTACGTAATGGTGTTATACATAAAGGAGTGTTTAGCATCAGGTTTGGATTCAGAGTAAGGCTAGAACGATTATGTGTGACAAGTGTGATAATTTTAAAGAAATTTTATTACCGCACAAGAAAACATAAAATAGCAGCATGTCACATAGCGCTGAGTACAGCTCTCTAGATTAAAAATTATTCATTGCAGATGTTCTAGGAAATACAAAACAGGAAAATTTACGAATTTGTAAATAGGAACTTAAGAAAAGTGACCCAACTACGTGATGGAGAATGGACAACTTGCATGTTAGACTAAATTCTAATCTAAGTAAAGAGAAGGGAATAAGACACATAATGAAATTAGTAAAATTGCAAAAATAATGAAATTAGTAAAATTGCAAAATTTGGTTGCGAAATGTTGTAAAATACAGAAAATATAGCCTTGCGAAGTTTGCATATTTTCAGTATATTTGTATTACGTGCGGAAATTGTTACCATTTTCGGCTCAAAAATGGTAACAATTTCCGCACGTAATACAAACATACTGAAAATATGCAAACTTCGCAAGGCTATATTTTCTGTATTTTACAACATTTCGTCACCAAATTTTACTTATTTTAATAAGTTATTTACGGGCATTTACTTTTATTGCCTAAATAAAAAATTTAGTCTAATATGCAAGTTGTCTATTGCAAAAGACAGAAATTTCGGGGGACCTGGGGGGTCCTTAATTTTAACCAAGAAAATTGTCGTACTTTTCAGCCTTCAGATGTTAATTCCTTGCATTTTCAGACACAAATTTTGATATATTCCATCTTGAAAGATTGAATATTAGGCCATATACAATTCGATATAAAATTTGAAAACGTGATAAACGATATAAAAGGTGAAAACTGGCATAGGTTATTGTCTTCCTTGTGCTTATCGTGCTTTTGAACAATTTAAACATAATTTGTGATAAATTATGCAGTCCTTTCACGAATTTAATAATAGTTAAATATTAAAGAAAATCCCGTAAGCAGTACTGCACAAAATCTCATTTATCACTTCACAAATTGGTTATCATTGCACCTTAAAATAATCCCTGGTGTGTGACAAAAGGGACATAGTTGTGGACGTTGAGGTCAGAGATACCATAAACAGGCGTGTAGAAGAAAAACAGATCTTCCATTTATCTGTCATAACACCAGGGTGACATTTCTAAATTTTTGAGTCGCTCGCTGTAGCTGGAGTCTTTTCCTAGCTATCAGCATCCATATTGCCTCTGTACTTGCTCAATTTTCAACATTTGGGCGCAAATATTATATGTGGGGACCAAACGTCACTGACATAATTTGGTTGGGATTTTACCAAAGAAAGGTAGAGTACATGTAGTAATTATTCCATATTGACTTTTCAGAGGTCTCTCATTGGCCGTGGCAGTTTTCCTTCTACCATTTTTGGGGCGAAACTTTCTAACACAAGCAATGTACGAAATCCGTTTTGACCAGGCCAAAGAGGATTATGGTCTAGCCGACAATGAGGTGTTTCTTGATTTTCTTGATTTATCCCACACCCCTCGTCTTCAATGTTTTTACCGCTGTTCAATGGATTGCCGTTGCTCGGCTTTCCAAATGTTTATGGATACGGTCTGTCAACTACTGTCGTCATCACGGGCTGAAGTGACGCTACAGCGCATGCCTGGATACACTTATTATGACATCATACCTTGGCAGGTAATAATTACGTTTTTCTGATCGGTTTGGTGCCAACAAGAAAACAAGACTATTCAGTTGCCATTGGTTACACTGAACTTCAGGGCCATTTTTAAGAAATTGGGGGGGGGGGCGGGGGCGTGTACCTGAATGGAACCGTACTATATAGTGAAGTTGGTGCTAAAAGTTTGGTGTGGTACGTGTCGCATGTATTACTGTAGTTGGGGGATCTGGGGCATTCTACCCCAGAAAAGTTTCGTATTTTTCCATCCCTTGGACTACATTTCGTGCGCTTTCTGAAACAAATTTTTGGATAATTACACAGCATTACATTATACTGTACATAGACTGAATCTTCAGTTAAATATTTGCATGGTATGCAGGGGCGTAGGAACCTTCGAAAAGTTGGGGGGGGCAGGCTTCGAGGGGCACTTTTCGAAAAAAAGGGCATCTCCAATTTTTTTGTTGGCGACTTCCCCCACCCCCCCTCGTCGCCAAAATTTCGGTCAGTGTACCATTTTAGGGGTCCAAAAAAATTTTCCGGACATATCCCAAAAATATTTTCAGGATAAACAAAATTTTTTTCGTAAATACTAAAAAATGTTTCAGGAATACAAACAGAATTTTCCGGATATATGATTTTTCCGCAATTTTTAACATTTTTCAGGAAATAACGTACATTGAAGTTTTCAAAAGTGCACCTTGGGCTAAAAATACAATTTTAATGAAAAATTTTCACGCACAAAAAGGGCACTTTGCTTCCAGAAAAAGGGCACTTGCCAAAACTTGGGGGGGGGGGGGCTTGGCCCCCCTGGTTCCTACGCCCCTGATGGTATGTTTATGTAAATATCAAAACTTGGTTAGTAACTTGTACTTGTTTAGCCTTCCAAGTTCCAACAACTCGAAACTATAGGGTCTGGGATATGCTATCCACTGGGAAATTTTTAAAATCTAAGGTATTTGCAACACAATGTTTAAAATAACGTTTAATAAGTCGATCTCTCTCTTGTATCAAGTTTTTGGTATTTTGGTTTATCCATGGAATGTTATATTTAGTTCGAATTCGTTTGGGTTTCAGCGGAGCGTGTTTGTCAAGAACCTCCAGAAAAAGAGATTTCCAAAGAGACCACCTACGATCAATATTTGATTCCTGATCGATGTGGTCCCATGGTTGATTATAAAGATCATCGTGAAATCTATTGCAATTAAAATGCTTAAAATTGCGAATTTCAATACTCTTATGGGAATGAGGCCCCGTTTTAGGTTCGGCTCTCCTTACTACATATATAAGATTGTGGTCACTTATGCCCAGTGGAATTAACGACGTCCGCAGAAACAACATACTCCGAATTTGAAGTGATACCAGTGGCGGAAATCTGGATGCGGCTGGGGGCGACCGCCCCCCCCCCCCCCACCTTCACGGAAAATTGACGAATTTTCGGAAATTTTGACATAAAAGAGGGCTAAAAACAGTCTTTTCGAGTGCAAATAGGGGGGGGGGTACGTCGGAAATTTGAAAGTTTTGTCGGAAATTTAGGAGGCTTTGCCCCCCACCAGAAAAAGTGAATTTCCGCCACTGGGTGATACAAACGTCTAATAAGGATGCGGTTGTTTGAGTGAGACGCGTGGGTTGGGTAATTATTTGAGAAAGTTGATACATTTCCATAAGTGAAGTTTGTCGCTTAGTAACATCACTGGAGGAGTCCAACATGTCACAATCTAAATCACCAAGTAGGTACATTTCCTTTTGCTGAAAATCCTAGGTGTGGAAAAATACGACATTTTCTGGGGTGGAGACACCCCTACGATACGAGACGACACCAAATCTTTTGTCGCCAACAACCACCTGTCAACTCTCCACAGTTAGTATAGTATAACCCCTTTCTGTAGACCCCCCCCCCAATGTCGAATTCTTAAAAAAGGCCCTTATACATCTTGTAAAATATCTTACTGGCAGCCAACATCGAAACACCTCATTTATTTATAAGAACATTGTAGAGGTAAATGATGTCATAGTTATTTTTCTTATTAATTCCACAGGGAACAAGTTGTCATATAGATTGTTGCAAGCAAAATCCATGTCTCCACGGAGGGCATTGTGAACCTCCAACCGATGCCGATGATCCCACGATCCGTTTCCGATGTTTCTGTCGTGAAGGTTACGGCGGCAAGCGATGTCAGTATCGAATCAGTTGCCCGGGTTATTTGGACATTGTGACATCTGGCGCAAACGGGATTTACACGATGGTAAACCTTAACACAAGAGAACCTTTTCAGGTACGAGACGTAATTTTTCACAAATGAGGAGTTTTCTTAGGGGGTTGGCTGTTAAGATCCCCCCCGACATAGGTAAAGAATGTTCCCCTAATAAGTGTTTTAATATCAATAAAATAAGTCACTAAGAGTAAATCCAATTTATAAATCCGGTGACAGAAAAGAGCGAGATAATTATCGACTTATTTCTACAATCTTGATAATTGCAAAACTTTTTGGGAAACTTGTTTGTTCACAACTCAATACGTTTTTAACCGAAAACAATATCCTGACCCCATGCCAGTCTGGGTTTCGAGTAGGTCTTTCAGCTACAACGGCTCTTTTAAATAACACAATAAATTACGTTTCATATGCTGACTTCAAAGACAATTATCACTTATTTACTGAGACCGAGGGAAACAGTGTGTTTTGTGGACCCGAGACCGTCGATGGTCGAGGGTCCAAAACATCGACGGTTGAGGGTCCACAAAACACACTGCTTTCCCGAGGTCTCAGTAAATAAGTGTTTTATTATATATCAATAGTCAAAGAAACAACAAATTAAAGAACAAATGAACGTAAATACATAAAATATTTTATTGTTAAAACGTTATATTAAACACTGGCTACACTGCAGTTACTTAAAGTGAAAGTTTTAATTACGTACTAGGCATGTCCAAAGGTCGCATCTTCACGTGATGGCGCACGTGATTTTTTTGGTATTCGCCGGTCGATAACGTATTATCTCCCTCTCGCGCTGTTGCGAGGGAGACAGCCTAATTTCGTCACTCTCACGTGATATGCTCTCAACCAATAAAACACTAGAAAAATGCGACTTTGACTATTGATATATAATAAATTGAGTTAATTTCTTGAGTTAATTTATGATACGGCGCTGATTTCCATTGTGTTTTGGTCATAAATTACGACAGCTTATTGTAGAATACTACCTGAGATAAATTTTCAGATGATTCAGACACATGGAATAGATTTATCCTAAATGTCCATACGTATTTCTTCATCATATTTTATAGGTGTTCTGTAGATTCGATTATGTGGGCTCAGTGTTAATTTCAACGACACTAATTCAATCCTACGCGCTTCGAAACGTTTCCCAAATCAGGCCTTTTACCCAAAACGCACCCATCAACGAAAATGATGTGAATTTCCAAGCTTGGCGGTTGTCCAAAGCAAACATGGACTTTATCGCAAGCTCAGCTACCTGGTGGATAGCAACTTGCGATTTCGAAAAAACTGGCTGGCGTGTAGATACTGATTACGTACAAGTAACACTCAATAATTTTAACATACTGGAGGATAACAATGCTGTCTCGAAATGCGTCATGGTGAAAAAAATGGTAATCCGGGGTGAACATTTGATCCTGGCCTCAACCTGTTCTAAATGTGAAATACCAGTTACACAGACAGCTTCCTACCCATTTCATGTTAATACTGATAGAGCTTCAATCGATAGCTGTGGTGGCCCCATACCTGCGGAGATAGCTGATTGTCACGAAGATAGTTTTGGATGGTATCAATGCGTGAATACAAATCACAGCTGTTCAGCTTCACCGGAGTCAACAACACAAATTTGGTTAAAATAAGAAAAGACTGACTACAGATTAAGCATCGTTTACACAGTGAAAACCTCTGGACATATGAAATTTGCATGCTTTAGTTACTTTGAGGTGTTCGCTATATGGTTCCATTGTGTTATACTACTTTTTACAAACAATGAGTGTTTTAAAAGTTACCAAAAAAATTACAAATATTTCCGGAAAAGGTAATTATCACAAATTACTTTTCTTCAAAAGTTTAATTAATTACGAATTTATACTAATCATTTGTTCAAAGTAATTGATTACTAGTTACTTGTCAGATTACTTCTCTGTCCCATTTCTGGAATCAACGATTGCTGCAAAAGACATGATCATGAGTCATGAAATGCGCCTCATTTCCAAACTTGGTACTGTCCGACTCCTATGGTATTAATGAACTTTTTCCTACGTTTAACTCTCTATATATGTCTTTGCCTGTCAAAAGAAGACATTGACAGTGCTCTTCCGGATCGTTTGACAGTTAGTCTCCTACATTTACAACATCTATATAAAAGACAATTTTTACATTTTTATGTTTAATTAAGGACAAGTTGTCTTGGAACTGAAATTTTCTACGGGAACTAACACTTTCAAGCACGCTGAGTTCGAATCCGAAAACGTCCCGCACCGTAAACCCGCAGTTTTCTCACAAAATGCTATTTTATCTTCGCTAATTTCACAACAAATTTTTTCATTGTTCAACGACACGGATCGATGACGCCACATGATTAATTATATCACTTAAAACGACCAATTCCTATTAACCAGTTTTCCTTTTAACAAAAGAACGCTTTTGCCCGAATTATTTTGAGTTATGTATCTTATGCGTGTTGCACGTAAACAACATATCTTGTCTACAACTTTGAAAAGGTACAGATAACGCCTTCTAAAATCCCCAGTTCTGGCGATATCTCTGTAAAATCACAAGGACGTTAATGCTAAGTCTTTTTGCTATATCACTGGCCTGTAAAATAACTAATTTAACGCGATCAAGGTATTTAAAACAAAAGTAATGCGAAGCCAACGTAACGGCAAAGACAACGCTAAAGTGAAATATTGTCGATTAGTTGCTAGTAGAAGACTTACGACAGGATGAATCTTAAATATAACCTTAAACTAGGGGAATAAATGTTCATATCAAAGACGAAGACCAGTGCCCAGGTATAAAATCTGCTCTGTAAACTTACGAGGAAGTGGAGAAATGTGTGCATAAGCTGTTTATTTGGTGATTTCAACGTATAGGGCACCCCTCTTTCCAATAATATTCGCTTATCGCACAGAATAACACAAACTGATATAATAGTTCAAATGCAATGATAAGTTACCTCTTGAATTACATCTCAAAAACTGTGTTGGAAATGCTGACCCATTCCATAAGATTACCGTTTTACATCGTTGTATAAAACATTTTGATCGAATGTAAGGAATTATTTCTCATCCCAGAGATATAACCCAACGACTTTACATTGGCGCCCTTGTGATTTTGTAGAGATACAGCCAGAACTGAGGATTTTACAAAGCGATATCGGTACCTTCAAAAAATTGTACACAACATTTGTTGTTTACGTCCAACACGCTTAAAATTACATAACTCAAAATAATTCGAGCAGAACCGGTCTTTTGTTCAATGTAGACACTGGTTCATAGGAATTAGTCATTTTGAGTTATGCAATCGTATGTCTTCATCCACCCGTATCGTTGAACCATGAAAAAATTTGTTGTGAAATTAGCGAAGATAAAATAGTAGTTTGTGAGAAAACTACGGGTCTACGGTGCGGGAAGTTTTCGGATTTGAACTCAGCGTGTTCGAAAATGTTAGAACAGGTTGGTCTACTTTAAAAGCCAGACGTAATGCTCATAAGTTATTTATGATGTACAAAATTGTAAATAATCTGACCCCTCCGTATCTGTCAGAATTGCGTCCTGATAATGTTAGTTCTAGATCAAATCGTAGTTTACGTGCCAATGATAATCTGATTGTCCCTTTCGCTAGAACCGAACGTTACAAAAAGTCATTTTATATTTCCTCTGTGAATCTTTGGAATAGTCTTTCAGCGACTATTCGTTCTAGTCGTTCAATTGCCATTTTTAAAAACAGTGTGACTCGGCTACACAAGTTCGTAGCTTCCAATCCGCTATATTATATAGGTGATCGTTTACCAGCTATTTTGCATACTCGTTTGAGATTATCTAATAGTACATTAAATTACGATTTATATTTAAAAAATTGTGTTTCTTCCTCTTTTTGTGCATGTGGTTTTCCAAAAGAAACTACAGCTCATTTCTTTTTCGACTGTGACCGATATGCTGCTATTCGAAATACTTTGCTCACCTCTGCTACTTCTTTACTCGGTGCAGCGTGGTCAGGTGCTGGTAAGGGTACACGTCTTAAGTGGTTACTTTGTGGTGTCGGGAATGTTTCTATTGATACGAATATTAATTTATTCTTAAGTGTCCAAAAATTCATTATTGATTCAGGTCGTTTCACCCGTAGCAGCCCTTGACCACGTTGCCCAGCGTGTATATGTTAATTGTGTGTTTGTCCAAAATTTGTGCTTGCTCTATCAGCTGTTTTTGGGGTTTTTTTTTTGTAAATATGTAATGTCAAGAGCGCCCCAGATAAGCCTTTAGTGGCTTTTGGCGCAATTGCCAATTTTTGAATTTTAATAAAATATTGTTTATATGAAATGTTAGTTCCCATAAAAATATTTCAGTTCCAAGACATGCGCTTAATGAAAATCGTTTTCTAGGCACTTTTCGTGGTCACAGCAAACGGCCTATTAGTGATTTGAACAATTTTAAGACCGCAAAACTTAAGACAATTCTTAATATTGAGAAGCTATGTATATGTCCTTCTTTTTAACTTTTTAACTCATAAACTATAATATATAGTATAATTTTAGTTCATGTAATAAAGATTGTTGTAAATATGGTCGATAATTCATAATTTCTTTTAAAATTTATGTAAATTGTCATTGAAAAGCCATTTTAGGGAATATCAATTAATAAATTCAAATCAAAGGGAAATATGTCTAGTATGCATTTGCTGTAACAATAAGATATTGTAACACAAATTAGCTGACAAGACCTCAACAATCGGAAACTTAATTTAAATATATAATGATGATGGCTTTTTTCCATTTAAAGACTTTCTTCATTAAAAGCACAGGTGAAACTGCTCTTGTTCGACGACACTGGGAAAAAAAATTGAAATTGAAAATTTTTAAAATTCTGTCTTAACAAAAGCAGCTGGTGAATGACTGCTCGTCGCTTTCCAATCGAAGAACGTCACTGGAAAATTTAAAAACAACTCAACGGCCGCTACGAATTGGAAGTCAAAATCGGTTCAAAATAATCGAAAAGTTTCTTTTCCAGATGTATGCAATGTTAACAAGGTAGATGCATTGCCTCTTTAGAACATTTTATTTTTTTCAGACATTGCAACCTACAGAAAGCAGCCCAAAATCGTGAGGTTGCCAATTTCAAACAGTAAGTCGTTCAAGGAAATGTGGAGTTCCCCAAGGTTCTATCTTGGACCCCTTGCTTTTTTACAAGATATAAAAGACTTGCCTGAATGTCTTAATAGCACTATTCTCTCTCTATATATGACAGTGAAATTTATGCATCGTCCAACAATAGTAGTGATATTGTCCCTAAATTAAATCCCTAAGTTCTAAAATATCCAACTATTAAGTGGATGGGTAAAAATAAGCTTCAAACTCATCCGACTAAGTTAAAAAAACCGATATGTTTCTAGGATCTTCTTACAATATAAAAACAAGATACGTATAATCAGCCTATTCTAATCATTAAAATGCTTGGCCAGAGTTACGAATTATGAATGTCTAGGGGTTATTTTGGACGATAAACGTAGCTGGGGCAATCATATATTAAAATGATTTGTAAAAAGGGGGTTGCTGGAATTGTTGTCATCAAGCGAATAAAGCCGTATGTGCCGCCTGAGCCCGGATATACTGCAAGTTATAATTGTATAATGCTCTTGAATGAACCCTATAGTTTGATTGTTTCGAGGGGCCCATGGCATATTATCAGCGCGGACCCCTTGACCCTTAATTAGCGACGATATCTCAATGTTACGCAGGGAACAAAAAAATCGAAAAGGGCAAGCGCGGGGGTTCGTGGCATATTCCGCTTCTGCCATATGGTTAATCCGACATTGACTCAAAGGTCGAGTCACGAGTGGAGTCCGTGTTGAGTAATTTCACTTTCAGATCGAGTCGAGTCTTTGGTTCAAGTCGAATCGCTGAGTCAATAGCTAAACGCGAGTTGAGTCAGGGAATTTGATCAAGTCCACCAGATTTTCTGTAGAGCTGTGCAAACTCCGATTATTTTAGGTGCGGCTCCTGCTCCGACTGTCAAAACTCCGGCTCCGGCAAGGAAATTTTAAGGAAATTTCATATTTGAAAGTAGAAGCAGGCGAAAGTATTTCAGTGTAATTTCAGAATTCACTCATTTTATCCCTTTTTGAGCTTTCTCCTTTACTTATCAAATATGCGTGCTTCGGTGCTTGTTTAAACAATGTTTTGTAGAGAGTAAAACCTTCTAACACAAGCATTGTATGAAGTCTGTTTTGACCAGGCCAAAGTGGATTATGATCTAGCCGACAACGAGGTGTTTCTTAACTTGAAATGAAATTTTTGTCTAGACTTGTCTAGATCAAAATGTTATTCATTAGGTAATAGGTCCATTCGAAGCCCCGCTAACTCGGACAATTTTTCGCCCCCCTTGGAGTTCGAGTCAACGGGGCGTTCTACTGTATTTTATATTTTTCAGAGGTCTCTCATTGGCCGTGGCAGTTTTCCTTCAACCATTTTTTGGGCGAAACTTTCTAACACAAGCATTGTACGAAGTCCGTTTTGACCAGACCAAAGAGGATTATGGTCTAGCCGACAATGAGGTGTTTCTTGATTTGTCCCAGACGCCTCGTGTTCAATGTTTTTACCGCTGTTCAATGGATTGCCGTTGCTCGGCTTTCCAAATGTTTAAGGATACAGACTGTCAACTACTGTCGTCATCACGGGCTGAAGTGACGCTACAGCGCATGCCTGGATACACTTATTATGACATCATACCTTGGCAGGTAATAACTACGTTTTTCTGATCGGTTTTATGCCAACACGAAAACAATATACAGCAGTACATGTACATTACACGGTAGATAGACCTAATCTTCAGTTAACTATTTGCATGGTATGTAAGTATATTTATGTAAATACCACAACTCGGTCACGAACTTGTATAGCCTAGCCTTCCAACAACTCAAATCTATAGGGTTTGCGATATGCCATCCATTGGGCATTGGGAATTTTTTAAGATATTTTACAACAAAATGTTTAGCATTTCTAAAAAGACATTGAACCATTTCATTCATTTGCAGACAAAACACATGACATAAGATTCGCAAAGCAAGGTTCAATCAGTACTAGAATATTACACCTCCATTCCATTTATATTCCATTTTTCTTCCATTGTTTTGCTAATATATTAGAGGAAAGGGGCCTTGACTACGTGGGTCAAAATGTTTGACTGGGGGTTGAGGGGGGGGGGGCACCGTAAGGGCTGGAGGGAGGGAATTTGACTTCTCCCCAGCTTTTTAATTAAAAAAGCCATGACATCTTATACAACTGACATCGAAAGACCTCATTTATGAGAACCTTGTAGCGGTAAATGACGTCACAGTTCTTTTTTCTTATTCCACAGAGAACAAGTTGTCCCATAGGCATAGATTGTTGCAAACAAAACCCATGCCTCCACGGAGGGGCTTGTGAACCACCGACCGATGCCGGTGATCCCACGATCCGTTTCCGATGTCTCTGTCGTGAAGGTTACGGCGGCAAGCAATGCCAGTATCGAATCAGTTGCTCGGGTTATTTGGACACTGTGACATCTCGCACGAATGGGATTTACACGATGGTGAACCCTAACACAAGAGAACCTTTTCAGGTACGAGACGTACGCCCGTATTATAAAAGCTCACTCACACTCAATGAGTGGAAGTTCAATCTGAGCTTCTCTCGAGTGTCATTGCTGTTTTTGAATAGCTGGAGGGTTAGTGTCGTACCTTACTATGTGACTACTCACCTTCCAGCTATTCAAAAACAGCATTGATACTCAAGAGAAGCTCAGATTGAGTGAGCTTTTAGAATACGGACGGTAGGTCAAAGTGTGCTGATAAACGAGGCACTAAAGTGCACTGGACCGGTCATTATTTATACCTGTGGTTGGTACCGAAGAGAAGCGAAAAACAGAGTAAATTTTTTATTTACCCAACCTCAGCATTGGTCAAAATAATGTTTACCGAACCCATTTCTACTGTACTTCATAATAATTAAACACACAAGATTATGGTGACAGAAATCAAGTTGCCTAAATTTTAAAACTTCACTCACACTCAAACTTACTGAGTGTACCAAAGCAAACACGTTCCTGCAGATCAAGGATATATTCCTTCCTCAATCACTGATGGTCTATATATTATGGTACAGAATGTATTGTACACATTTTTCTTCATATTTTCAAATGCATGCATGGTAATTTTGGTTTTACTAGTTTTATAGCTGACAGACAGCGACAAGTTTTTTACCCAACACATGAGCTAGTCAAAAACGTGATTACCCAACCCATATCTCTTCGGTACCAACCCCGGGTTTAAATAATGAACGGTCCCTAAGGGACCTTTCATTAATTGTGGGGGTGGCATCTGAAGAGAAAAGGGTTGGGTAAACGCAATTTTGAGTCAGTAAAACGTTGGGTAATTGAAAAACAAAACAACTCAAGCGTTGGAAAATAAAAATTTAGACAGGGTTACCAACTTTAATAAAGCTACAACACAAAATTACAACACAAGATCAATGCGTTCCAAACCATCCTTACACACTTTCCGATTCCAGAGTAAATAAAACTAGACTATGGATATGTGTAAATATAAAATATTTAGAAATCATGACAGTTTATTGTTAAATACTACCTACGCTGAACCGTATACGTTTTGAGATAACTTTCTCAGATGATTCAGACACAGATAGATATCATCCTAAATATCTATTTCTTCATCGTATTTTTAGGTGTACTGTAGATTCGATTATGTGGGTAAAGCGTTCATTTCAATGACATTAATTCAATCCTACGCGCTTCGAAACGTATCCCAAATCAAGCCTTTTACCCAAAACGCACCCATCAACGAAAATGATGTGAATTTCCAAGCTTGCCGGTTGTCCAAAGCAAACATGAAAGTTCTCCCAAACTCTGCTGTCAGGTGGGTAGCAACTTGCGATTTCGAAAAAACTGGCTGGAGTGTAGATACCGATTTCGTACAAGCAACACTCAATAATTTTAACCTACTGGAGGATAACAATGCTGTCTCAAAATGCGTCATGGTGAAAAAAATGGTAATCCGGGGTGAACATATAATCCAGGCCTCAACCTGTTCTAAATGTGAAATACCAGTTACACAGACAGTTTCCTACCCATTTCATGTTAATACTGACCGAGCTTCAATCGATAGCTGTGATAGCCCCATACCTACGGAGATAGCGGACTGTGACGAAGATAGTTTTGGATGGTATCAATGTGTAAATACAAATCACAGCTGTTCAGCTTCACCGGAGTCAACAACACAAATTTGGTTAAAATAAGGAAAGACCGACTACAAATTAACCATCGTTTACACAGTGAAAACCTCTGGACATATGTAGTTACTTTGAGGTTCGCTACTGACTCGTCCGCAGTCCCTCGTTTATATTTCAGTTAATTAGTACGGGAGAATATGCCCGTTCGCGGGTTAGGCGTTGACAGCATCCAACGCGAGCGACTGGGAACGAGTTAGGGTTCGCTATATGTTTTTTAATAGGCAATTCCGGCTTTTAATTTATGCGCGCAGGGGGTGACGGGAAGTAAGGTATCATATTGCTGATTATGCAGAAAAATTTCAATAAAAACTGCCGAAACAACCGGAATATTTCAATTATCACTCCGTGTTTACACAGCCGCCATTTTTATTTTTTTCAGCATAGTCAGCAACATGATACCTCACTTCCCACCACCATAGGCGTACCGGGCGGGGGGGCGGGCGGTAGCCCCCCCAGTTTTTTCGGCAGTCGGGCAATATTCGACCAACAGTCGGGCAATTTCGGTTTGCATTAAAAAAAAATGGGACAAATTCTGTCAATTTTGTCTAAAACTAAGTCAATTTTTTGGCAAATTTTGTGATTTTTCGAAAATTTGTGTTATGTTCCGAAAAATATTGGTTGTCCGGAAAATTTTTTTGACCCCTAAAATAGTACACTGACCGAAATTTTTTTGGGGGAGGTCGCCAAAATAATTTTTCCGGAAAAAAATTTTGGTACTAGTCGGGCAGAATCCCGAAAAGTCGGGCAATTTTCTTTCCGCCCCCCTAATTTTTTCCTTCCGGTACGCCCATGCCCACCACCCTCTGCACGCATGAGCTAAAAGCTGGAATTGCCTATTGTATTGTATACGTTTATCTTTTTACAAACGATGAGTGTTTTAAAAGTTACTAAAAAAATTACAAATATTTCCGGAAAAGGTAATTATCACAAATTACTTTTCTTCAAAATCCATTAATTATGAATTTACTAATCATTTGTTCAAAATAATTGATTACTAGTTACTTGTCAGATTACTTCTCTGTTCCATTTCTGGAATAACGATAGCTACAAAAGACATGATCATGAGTCATGAAATGCGCCTCATCTCCAAACTTGGTACTGTCCACCCCTAGCATTCATTAATGAACTTTTCCTATATTTAACTCTACTCTGTCTTTGCCTGTCAAATTCAGACATTGACAGTACATTTAATTCTTACTTTATTCCACACTTGTTTCACATAATTTATGTATTTGTCGTAGTTTTCTGTATAATTGCATTAATATATTCCGTAATGTGATTTACATATTTTTGTTTATAATTGTTTCGACTAAATCCATCTGATTGATATATTTTTTTGTCACGTGCGCTTTTATATCCTTAGTATGAAAGCCCATGTAAGAGCCTTCAGGCAGTAGCATCCTTACCAACGACAGTTTTGTTATTATTGAGCCTCTACGTACCCTGGTTCCAGAGGTTTAAAATAAACCTCTGGTTGAAAGCGGCAATTGATTCATCGAGCCGCGCCAATCAGTTTGAATTAGGGTCAGATCCTGACTCTGTCTCCTGATTGGATGATTGTATTAAAGCTCTCCGATTGGTTATATATGTTTTATTTGAATCAATCAGAGAGCTTTAATACAATCATCCAATCAGGAGACAGAGTCAGGGTCTGACCCTAATTCAAACTGATTGGCGCGGCTCGATGAATCAATTGCCGCTTTCAACCAGAGGTTTATTTTTCCTCTCCCCTTCGCAATGAAAATAATAAAAATAAACCTCTGGAACCAGGGTAGCCTCTACGCGGCCATTCTTGACCTCAGCCCGCGCGCTCGCTCTTGCATGTCTTCAGCCGCCTGACAAGTGCCTGAATATTGTTGAATACTAAAAAAGAAATGCTAATAAAGAGGAATTATAAAATAATATTATAAGATCTGCAAGTATTTTTATTTTAAAGCGACTGGGGACGAGTCTGTATTATTGGCAATACCTACACTGGCACATACAGTTCAAAATCATTACAAATTACTTTCCTTCAAAAATAATTAATTACGAATTATTAATTATTTGTTAAAAAGTAATTGATTGCTAGTTACTTGTCATATTACTTTTTACTTGGAGTTATAGGCACTGATAAGATTGAACTGCTACAATCAAAATGCGCCTTAGCAACATACAAAACAAGTCGTACAAATCTATTGCGTTGAATTTGTTACTTAGTTTGAGTAGGGCATTTTCTGTTCAGTCGCATGATCAGTTTATCCACGACAGACACTCAACTCAATGCCATTTCCTTCTGAAATTGCCAGTGCTGTTGAGTAACTTTGTTACAAGAAACTAGTACATGTAATCGTTACATTTTTGAGTAACTGTAACGGTAACTTGTTATTTTTTGGGAAGCTAACTTGTAACTGTAAGTAATCGCAAAAATTGATAAAAAGTAACGGCAAGTAGTTACATTCTGGCCTCGAGAGAGCCGTTACTTTTGCGATATCCAACTTAGGTGCTGATTACATGGTGCCGAGCTGGCCCGGTTAACCGGGCTGACTCGTTTGTTTAGGACCTTATACTGTGGTTTTAAAACTCGCGTAAAATAAATTTGCGATAAATAATTGGTTTAGTATAGATGCAAAATCATCCTAAACCCGATTTAAAACTCATTTTGCGGCCCAAGGAAGATTTTCGTGACATTTTTCAGCCCGGTTAAGCCGGGTTTCAGCCCCTTACTAAAAACCTGTTTTATCCCTATCCACAATTTCGACTACGTACAGTTGTCGTGCCATATACTCATATTGAACGGAACTAAACACTAGTGTCTACAAGTGCAACATGTGAAAGGCTGTTCCACGCGTGTTGCGCAGAGTTTTAAGTTTTTAGACTACATGTTGCTCAATCATTGTAAACATTATTTTTCTGATCAGTTTTATTGAACAACTGTTATAATTTGTCGAATTCACAATTGAAATAAGGGACCGGTCATAAAGTAACTGCTAGGGTGGGCTGGAGTGATTTGGGATGGGCCATGGAAAATCTTTGGGCAGTTTCGATGGGCCGCCAATTTTTTGGTATGCCCACGGTTGGGCCACCAAACAAAAATCCATGTTAATTATATATTACATAAAGATATTAATAATAAAAGTGAACAAAACTATCCAAATTATCAAATGCAAATGATGCTATTGAAGCCAGTACTTTGTTTTATACAACAACAAGAAGTGGTCGAATCACAGCAAATACAACCAACTGGAGAGCAGCTCAGTATTGTAATTGGTGATGAATGTGTTGGTCAAGCTTGATGGAATTATTGTCCGTCAATACAGTGCCGGTGTATATTTACAATGTTCATACCTGCAAGTTTTTATTATTATAAAATTGTATTTTCCCAATTTAGATTGGGTGGGTGGGTCATGAAATAAATTTGGCAAGATTATAGATGGGCTTTCGAGGCTTTGAAATTTTTATGGGTCACCAAACTTATTGGCAAAATTTGTGATTTACCTCCAAGCCCACCCTAGCAGTTACTTTATGACCAGTCCCTAACTCAATCCATGAATCGTAGTCTGACTCCTGCTTAGTTACTGAAAAATTATGTAACTTTTATAGCACTGGAAATTTCCAGATATGGCAAGGTTGGAAAAATTGAAAGGCGCAGAGAAGTAACACAAATTACTTTCTTCAAAATGTTACTCGTTTCCTTATAAAGAGGTAATTGATTACCAAAAAATCAAAATTACAAAAGTTTTTGATTTGTCACTCAGTGACTTAGAAGTAGTTTTATGAGGCTCACCCGGCCCCACTCCTGACGTCATCGGAACTATAGTTAATAGGTTAATAATTAATCCAAGATGGCGGACAGCTCATTGCTTTCAGACAAAATATAAATACAGACAAATACAAATACTGTGAAAATCAGTAACAAATACTGTGAAAATCAGACAAATACTTTGAAAATCTGTAACAAGATTTCAGACAAATACTGTGAAAATCGTAACAAGATTTTTATAGATAATTTTAAATGTTCTTTCAAATTATATAAGAAATTTTTTTGTTGCCATTGCCCGTTAAAAAGGGTTTTAAAAGCACAGATGAATGTGTTAAGTGCTCATGTTTGCCACCAGTTAAAACATTTTGCATTTGTGACAAGCTGAAAAAAGTTTCCTTTCGTGTGGGGAGACAAACTGGAAAACTCGAAAACGATCAATAGAAAAATTTCAAGCATACTAAAACTTTTCGTTTCAACAAAAGCGTTGGGAACTGTAATTTACTGAACGACTCAACACCATAGGTCGCTCGAAAAGGTCTTTTATTTTTAAAAAAATCCATAAAATGCTTTAAATTGCAATGCTTAATATATTGTCGCTTGATTAATCTACACTAAAACCTTTATACAGTACATGCGTTGCATCATTATATATAATTTCCCCAATCGATCTAACACTGTATATAGTCTGTATACAAAACTAAATGACGAAAAAGTCGTAAATTAGCATCGAAATACTCATTATGATCAGACATAACTTTAACACTCGTACATTAGTATATTTTCGTTCTTTCACAATATTAACACGAGTGAATTTTTCGAAAATCCATCAAATTTTTGTTAATTGTTTGTCTCAATTTAATGTTAATTTTCACCATTACTCATTAGCCGATTAGGCAGATGTATATGTATGTTAATTATATTATGTTAATATGTAAATTTCTGTCTAGAGTTTTGTATGAAAGGCCAAGACATGCAGCTAATAAAGTGTTAGTTGACTTAAAACGTTTTCTGGTGTCGTAAACACAATACTTTTAGTCTTTGTTTGAAGTATGCTAAAACTGGAAAATATCAAAGTCGTATTATTTTCGTATTTTCCCGCTCTTTGCATCCGGGAAATGTGAATTTACATCCGGGCAACGAGATTTTAGCCAATCGGAGAGTGTTATTTTAATTGCCCCGATTATTGTCCCTCGATTTTTCCAGCAATGCCTACTAGTCTATTATTTTATAATTTCCATGCGTCATTTTGTAAATATTTAGTTGG